GAACAATTTAAATGTATTGTCGATTAAATTCAAGTTTTGCGTAATTGATCTTTCTAAATATAGTAATATTTAGAAGTAGGAAAAAAACATTTAGTTAGTACTACACATCTATAAAATTTCATCGAAATCAGACTTGGGTTAGATTGTATACAAAATTCTTACCCACGCTTTTATTATTATATATAATGATTAATTAATTATTATAAATTTAAAATTAAGACATTTATTAAACCGTTATGTTAAAATATTTATTAAAATATTTATGTGTTACAGGGTTACAGAGATGTCGTTGGATCATATGTTTTGTTCCCGATGTAGAGAAGGTTTTGTTGCACATGAGAAAATTGTTAATTCAAATGGTGAATTGTGGCATCCGCAGTGTTTTGTGTAAGTATGTATTGGGATAACAATTGGATAGCCAAACCTGTCAAACATAGGTTCGAAAGTGTCTATTAGAAATGTTAATAGAATGTCACAACATTGTGAACAAAAATCTAACAGAAAAGAATATAATGACAGACTGATTACAGAAGCTGAGCAGAATCTGCTGTTTCGTAATCATTTTAAATGATGTATTTGTATTCCATTTAAATATTTATGAACGATTCTATTTAATTACTACTGACTTTATCTTGGCTGCTTTCTTTTTAGGAGATGTCACAGTCGATACAAATATTTTTTTTTGTTATTGAATATCAAGAAGAATAATACGATGTGTCAATTGTGTTTTCTAAAAGGAAAGCAGCTAACAAAAAATATACTGTACTATATATACGTATAGATGATATACTGGATCTGTTGCAGTAACTAGATACTAGCTCTAAGTAAATTTGCTGTAAATTTATTATACTGTAGGCAGTTTGCTTACAGGCAAAAAGGAAAATAAATAGCTATTACGTGTATTTTGTATCTATGAATAAATAGACGAAAACGAATTAAACATATACTATACTGCAAAAAAAATCCATTACTTTTATTAGCACATAGTATGAAAAGAATATACATAAACTTATATAGGTAACGAAAAAATCAGCAATTTGTCTAATTTCATATATACGTTTCCAAAATAGTTATTTGAATTTACATAATCGAGGTATTTTTAGAATGTATTAAATAGTTTTTAACACTAATAATTATAACTTTATTTTCAAAGAATTTAAAATGATTAAAATGATTTCTTTTATGGAAATAATTGCCTGTAACGAGATTTGAAAATGTATCATTGAATGCAATTAATCATGCCATATTTTTTACTTTTTCTAATATTCGATTTTTTTTATAAATTAAATTTATATTATTGTTCCTATGATTTGTGTTAATATAAATGACATTTCTTTTACGGAATAGCGTTTAATTCATTTCATTTTATCCATGTATCACGAAATAATAATTATTGAATTTTCGCAATTTTTTAATTGTGATTTTGTACATGTACATACTTTCTATTCGATTCAATTTTCATATATTACGTAACATTTGTGGAGAAGCCACAATTTTTACAAGTTGCATGCTCCAATATTAATTTCTTCGCTACTTTCTGTAAAACAAAAACAGCTATAAAAATGTACTATCTTATGGATTTTTATCACATGAGTTAATATCCTTAATATCTAATTTTGATAGATGCGCGCAATGTTTCCGACCATTTCCAGATGGAATCTTCTATGAATTTGAAGGATACAAATATTGCGAGCATGACTTTCATGTTCTGTTTGCACCATGTTGTGGCAAATGTGGTAAGTTAGATTTAAATTTTGTTAATTGCTTCGATATTATTAATTCTGAGAGTATAATCAAATATGAGATAACATTTTGAAAATGTATTTAATCAAGTTTTCTCATTTTTATGATAGGCGAATTTGTTATTGGCCGCGTGATTAAGGCGATGAATTCAAATTGGCATCCACAATGTTTCCGCTGCGAAGAATGTAACGGTGAATTGGCAGATGCGGGCTTCATTAAGTGTCAAGGCAGAGCCTTATGCCATACGTGCAACGCTAATGTGAAAGCTGGTGTACTTGGAAAACATATATGTCATCAATGCCAGTATGTTCTCATTATTGTATAAAAGATGTAGCTTTCGTATTATAAATGATAGGCAGTTTTTGCAATCCAAATGTTTAATTATCAAAATGCTTAAAATGATGCTTAAGCGATCCTTTTTTAATTTTATTCTGAAAAGAAATTATAATCTCTTTTTAAACGCACTTATAGCTTCTTGAGATAGATATTTTTAAAATTTTAAAAATCTAAAATATCTAGTCTGGAGAATGAAAAAACCAGACTTTTTGTAACTAGACTGCTGACTTAATGCGATAGAAAGAGATTACTCTGATTTCGAGGTGTCCTTGTATCGCGTGAATTTATGTGAAAACACTGCGTTCATAACAGAAATTATCATTAATGTCAAATGTCATTTTATGGTAGCTTTGTAATTTTATCGTATTCTAAAAAATAATATAAAAAACGGTAGCAAATTGCAAAAGTCGATATAAAGTAGGAAGTAATGTTCTTTTTTTTTCGTAAATATATATATTACATTATTTATTTATTATAAAGATAATAAATATATACTTCTTAATATTTACTTAAGCAGTGATTATACGTGTGATTTATACATATACATGTGAGAGTGAGTGAACACAAATATGGCGCTGCCCAGCGGTGTCTTCAAACATGGAGACGAAATCAGCAATCTATTTATAGAAAAATCTATAATTTACGCAATGGAATATTGAAATTGTTTGAAAATTGTAGTCGTTATGATTTTCTTTTGTAATTTCTAGCGGAGTAATCGATGACAAACCTTTACGATTCCGTGGTGAACTTTATCATCCTTATCATTTCAATTGCACAACTTGTGGTATAGAACTCAATTCCGAAGCCAGAGAAGTCCGTTCTCGACCTGGCTATGCTGCCAATGAAATGGTAATAAAGATTATGTTAATATTTTACAGAATATGGATAATTGTTTAAGTCTCAGATTTTATAAGAAATTAACTAGTATATCTAAAAAAAGAATAAATATGTTTATGAATAGTATATGAATAGAATTTAATGTTTTAAACATAATTTTTTTAACGGTAAAAAATATATATATATATATATATATATATATATATATATATATATATATATATATATATATATATATATATATATATATATATATATATATATATATGTATATATATATATGTATGTACAGGGTGTTTGGAAATTAGTGATAAGTCTTTCGCACAGGGGCAGAATGGATTAAACTGAGAAGAAAAATCCTCTACCCATTTTGCAATTTTCATAGTTAACAATATATTAATTGTCGTTAAAAATTGCCGAAAATTGGTATTCAATAATTTTTTACTCAAATACTATCAACTTTACAGAAAAATTGCAAGAGACGGAAATTGTTTATTTCATTCTCATAGAACTCTATGAATTTTTTCAGAATTTTTTTCAACTTTTTAACTGCATTTTCTCATTTTCACCAACATGAGAAAATACGGTATTAAAAAATTCTGAAAAATTTCTGAAAAAATTCATAGAGTTCTATGAGAATGAAATAAACAATTTTCGCCTTTTGCAGTTTTTCTGTAAAGTTGATAGTATTTGAGTAAAATATTATTGAAGGCTAATTTTCGGCAATTTTCATTAATTAATATCTTGTTAACTATTGTGAAAATTGCAAAATACTAGAGGACTTTTCTTCTCAGTTTAGTCTTTCTTCTCATTCTGCTCCTGTGCGAAAGACTTATCACTAATTTCCAAACATCCTATAAATTTATTATATTAGGTCATTTAAAAGTATCCGCGGTTTTTTGTTCAATTTTTGAATGAAAAAACCGCGGATACTTTTTAAATGACCCAATACACACACACACACACACACACAGAGAGAGAGAGAGAGAGAGAGAGAGAGATATGCTTTTACAATTTGCTTCGGTCTTAATAATGAACTGTATTTTGCATAGAACGAGCTCTATTGTTTGCGGTGTCACGATAAAATGGGAATCCCAATTTGTGGCGCCTGTCGACGTCCCATCGAAGAACGCGTGGTAACGGCACTTGGCAAACATTGGCATGTGGAGCATTTTGTATGTGCTAAATGCGAAAAACCCTTCCTGGGCCATCGCCATTATGAGAAAAAAGGTCTTGCTTATTGCGAGACTCATTATCATCAATTGTTTGGGAATCTCTGCTTTGTCTGTAATCAGGTTATCTCTGGAGATGGTATGTATCTGATATATGGTATCACAAATTAATTTATAAATTGCGTACAATTCATAAAAATTGTTTAGTTAATAACTTTTTAATAAATAACGAGCGAAAAAGATCAATGACATTTTCCTTCTTCAGAGTCAAGATTATTCGGAGGTCATTCGGGACCGATTGTAAAGAGAAAGGTTTATTTTTTTATTACGATATTTGTTTTTTTTTCTAGTTTTTACGGCATTGAATAAGGCATGGTGCGTTCATCACTTTGCATGTGCATTCTGCGACCAGAAGATGAATCAGAAGACCAAGTTCTTCGAGTTTGACCTAAAGCCCGCGTGCAAGAAGTGCTATGATAAGTTTCCGCAAGAGTTGAAAAAGCGGATGCGACGTATGTACGATCTGAATCCTAAGAGGATTCCACCAGCATAAACACAGATCTCGGCTTGGGCTCTTCTGTGTAACTCTCTTAAGATTTAATCAATACTCACTGATTTACTTGTAGTGCCTTATTTGTCTTAATATTAATATAAGAAATTACATTTAACTATTTGTCATATTGTAAGCTACGTAGAGTCTACGTACCAAAACTACTTATTTATCAGTTGCAACACTGACGTAACAGCTATATTTTTAATAATTATTTTTTAATAAAAGGTATGAGTGCATCTTCGACTTAAAATATCTTTTCTAATTTGGCATCTACGAATAGGAGAGTGTGCAATAGTTCTTCTATATGTATACATTTTGTGTATGTGAAGCGTAACATTAGTTACACACGACACACACACACACACACAGAGAGAGAGAATGTTTCACGTCTAACGCATTATCTGCTAATGGCAGATTCCTGAAGTTATTTTGAAATTAAAATTCTAGTTTTTGAATTATAATCATTTAAAGCTAGCAAATTATACTGTCTAAAATTTACGTGTTCAGGTAATAACGCAAAGTGCTAAAAGCAAAAGCTAATAGTTGCCTATTATAATATCAATATAAATAATTACATAAGCGAAAATGAAATCACTGATATTTCTAATTCTTGATCTGGAGACACGGTAGTGTCTTAGCACTAAACGTCACAGCGCGAGATATTTATTATATTAAAAAAATATTTAGTCTGAACATTATTAAATTTTCGTCTCAAAATGTTTCAGGTATCTGCCATTAGCAGGTGGTCTGGTCTGAAATGCATTGTATGTGTGTGTGTGTGTCGTGTGTGTGCGCGCGCGCGCGTGGGCGTGTATTATAATAAAATTTTAATCAGGAAAATGTGTAGTAAACACGAGCAACTCTATGACATGCTGCACTCCTGCGTATTCCGACTGATACAATCTGATTGATAAACTTTTTATATATAATCATTAATAATTCGGTAAATAATAATCAAGATCAAAATTGGGAAAGAAACTTAGTTCAAAATTTCATCATCCTTCATTCCAAGAAATATTATAGTATTTTCGGCCCGACCGGGTTTGCACCAACCTGAGTTCGAAAATGCTTTGCTATCGATTGACGTTACATGCTCTACCAATAGGAAAGCACGAAACATCATTAATTCAACCCAGGTTGGTGCAAAGTGTACCCCGGTGTAAGCCCGGTCAGGATGAAAACACTATTAATTAAGAGTTATGGATAACTTGTATTCATACAAGTAATCGCATTTTATGAAACTTTACTTATGTATGTTAATTTTAAAATGTTATTATAATTTTAAAATATGTATATTTATGATTAAAACTCGACCTTATGTAAAAATGTTCATAACAAAATGCAGGATGAGCAATAAGACGTGCCTAACAAAAAATGTACAATAAAAACGGCATTTAATGGAAGTATCTAATGAAGTTTTATTTACAAATCAAGGCATTAATTTTACATTCACACGCATAATCCTTTCTCTACTCTCACTCATGTTAAAATTTTTAACCCGTTCAAGGTCATAAAAAAATATAAAAAAGTAATTATTTTCCACAAGTTTTACTTTTCTCGTCGAGTTATTTTTAATTTTTTCATTTATGTCAAGTGTACTTTTCATAAATAGTGTCTGTCAAGGAGAAATCCTTGCAGTCACTTTCATTTAATCCTAGAATACTAATAATATATAATAAAAAAATAGCATGTAAGTTTAGCAGTTTTTTTTCCATTTATTTTTTCTTACCCATTAGTTTATTTCTAATGAATGTTTATTTTGGTATTTTTTTAGGAAAAAATCTCAACATATGTAAATTTAACGTATGATTATTTTTAAAAGTATGATTAGTATTCTAAGATTAACGCTGCATTTAGCGCTAAATGTGGTCAATTGAACTTTAAAGCGTAAAATAATCGATTCAGCCATATATATATATATATATATATAGTTCGATGACGTCAAAGAGGCAAGGGAATCTCGAGAAATTCCTCTGTGGTGACCCATGCTCTTATAAAAGCACATAAAATCATGACAATTTGAAGGGCAAAATTTCTTAGCTAAAATAAAAAAACCTATAAAACCAGATGAAAAAGAGAGAGAGAAAGAGAGAGAGAGAGAGAGAGAGAAACTTCCAGATTGAATGATATATAACATGACCTATTATCTTATTATATTTAGAATATTTTTACAAGATTTCGAAGCCGATATTTCTCGATAGGATTCAGTTTGAAAAGATTCATTGACGCGACGATGTCAACTTTTTTTTGCTTATTCAAGCAACATTCTAAAGTCGTAAAAAATATAATTATAAATCAATGACTAGAATAATAGAATAATCTGAAGCACGGTTGCGAGGAAATGTATGCGATTAATCCAATTTTATAATACAAATAATTGTACTTGATATATAAATAATTATACTTAAATATATTTATTTATATATTAATTTGGAAATTGTGCCATCAAGTATAATTATTTGTATAAGTATATTTGCATAAATCTCTTAGCAATAACTATACTTGATAGCAAATTAATTTGTATAAATAACTTGCACTTGATAGCGACTTCCAAATTAAAAAATCATTATCTAGTATAATCATTTGTATCACAAATTAATTCGCACGTACGCATCTCGGCCGATTTATGACTATATTTATATGTTAATAAGTCAAACAAATTAATTTGTTTAATTATATCGTAAAAAAACTATTTGCAATTATAATTATATATAGCAAAAATCAATTACTGTATGTATTTACTATTTATCAAATTAATTAACAACCACACGTTAATCATTATAAACAAATTTCTTTAAATTTATTTCTCCATATTTTCATATAATAGATAAAAGATAGAAAATGAAGATAATAGCTTTTTTTTAAGATTTTAACGCTATTTTAAGTTTGCTTTCATGATTGTACATGCTTTTGTACGATTGTCTTGATAGATCTCCTTGTAAAGTTACAAAACATACAGTTGAAAACGGTAGGCTGTTGTGTCGCCTAAACTAGCGATATAAAGATCACAATCAACGTGATCGTGGACCACCATAATTCGTATTTAACGCAACATGTGTAATGCTGATAGAACTTGTTTGCAAGCAAGCTTAGTTCGTATCCGCGATCATGAATAATCGCTGAACATGATCACTCATTAATACTCTATACAGTACATTTAATTACCGGATATAAGGATAACGAAGGCTGAAGGCGTGACCAACCACATTTACTGCTAATTGTGCAACGTGTCAGTGATTTCGAAAAGTCTATATTCACATTTTTGTTTGGCATCACCGATCTCAACGCGACTATCCAATTCTGAATTCATTTGGGTAAGGATGGCGTAGGGGATATATACATTTACATATGTATATAATCTTAAGATTCTATTCTGGGATATAATCACAGATAGCCGCATTTTATGCCAAAGTGCCATCGATGTGAACATAGGATCATGCTACTTTATTGCGATGCAAACGGCGACGCGGGCCTTCAACGGGTTAACAAGAAATTACGGGAAAAAAATTTATACAATTCGCATAGTAATGATAATAATAATAATAATAATAATAATAATAATAATAATAATAATAATAATAATAATAATAATAATACAATTGTTTCTAATTTTATACGACGCGACGCGCAATTCAAAAAGTCGCACGTCTTCTTATCTACTTATTTTTTTATTTCGCATTTTTTTTTAAAGAAATTTTCTCGGAACTCTGTATAAAATTCTCGGCTCAACTTGAAACGCCGCAACGGCCGTCACTCGGCGAAAGCCTCGAACGCTATTTTTTCTTTTCTTTTTACACATTCGTACGATACATATAAACGTACACACATCACACATACGCACACACACATACACGCACGCACACAGTGTTTTACAAATACATGTCAATATTTTAGGGAGTGAATCTATACACTGAAATAAGTAAAAAACATGAACATGTTCTACATACCTTAGTTTTCGAGTTATAGATGATTAAAGGAAATGTTCTTAGTGTCCGTGCTTCGTGTTTTAATACACACTATTGCATTACAATATTGAAAGATATTATTTAATTTTAGTATATAAACATTAGATAAGGTCACGAAGGTACTAAGATGTGCAATAGCATCTGTTGAGGCACGAGAAGGACATTTAGAACATTTTCTTTAATCATTCGTAACTCAAAAATTAAAGTATGCAGGACATATTCATGTTTTTATTTATTTTATGTGTAGATTCATCCTAAATATTGACATGCAATTATAAAACACTTAATATACTATACAATATGTACGTAAACACGCACGTACATATGTGTGTTTGGTTTCATAAATAATAATTGTGAGTTATTTTGTTTAAAAATATTTAAATAAATATTTAGACTTAAACAAAAGTTTTAAGTTTTGTTAAATTTGGTTTTAGTGAATTTTATTTTTTCACTGATATATATATATAATGTAGATATGTAATGTGTAGATATGTATTTTTATTACAATTTTGTAAGGTATTTAATATATTCGATAAAATATGTGATTTTCGATAATCGTTCATAAAATATTGTCACTGGTATTGCTTTTAATTATGAGGAATAAAAACATAAAAATAGAGTAATTTAAATATTTTAGTTTTGTGTAGATCTTCTTAAACAAAATAACTTTAATTAAAAAATTTTTTATAACTTATTTTATAAAATAATCGATGTACACATTTAAACCAAACACACACGCACGCACACACGCACGCACGCATGCACTATACATTTGATTTCATTATGCGCAGCAAGGCGGTCCGAAATCATGATTGCGATTTCAAGAGGGAGAACATTATTAGCAACGCTATCTCACTCTGTGTTTCTTCTTGCTTCAAGTGTATCAAGATATTACGTGTTTGCATATGAAAAGTCAAATTTTTAAGTCCGCAAATATAAAAAGACCTCCAGTATGACCATGTATACATATATAATCTCTTGCGAATAAATAAAATGGACATCACTCTTATGTGAATTACATGATCTTGTATAAACTGTACATTCTCGCGTAATTTGGTTTCCGAGATTACAGGACTCCTTATCTTATTAATATAATATAATCTATATCTTCTTAATTTCTTAGCAAACTTATTCTTAGAGATTGTATTGACAAAAAAAGAAAAATGGACTTTTCATACGCAATAACATAATAATAATGCTGTGCTGTAGTTAAAATGCTTTAAGATCCTTGAATCCTTAGATTCTCCTTTACGTTTGTGAAACAATTTTGATCTATGTATCTGTGCATCCTTGAATTCCTAGATTCTACATAGCTTTAAATCCTTGGATCTTTAATTCTTTGGAATTTTAGCCCGACCAATTCATAAACTGCTTGATATATTTCAATCCTCTAAAAACGTTTTTGATTTCTCAGAGCTGATTTGTTTCCGATTACTGAATTTTTAATAGCTTTCAATCCTTCTAATATCTTAAATAAAATTCTTCTCAATCCTATCCACGATCCTTAGTTTCATAGATTACTACACTAACGTAAATTTTTTAAATATCACAAAAGTGATGGATCAGTGTTGGATCATTGCACGCTTAATATCGATGAATTCGTGGATTTTTACATCCTTACAGTCTCGGAATAGAATACAATTTCAGAATAGATTTCGATTCTAATATTGTCGACTCTTTGACCGGACAGAGAGAGGAAGAGAGAGAGAGAGAGAGAGAGAGAGAGAGAGAGAGAGAGAAAGATCCATGGATTTTTAATTCCTCTAAATTCTTATTCAACTTTTCGGATACTTAGACCTATGGATTCTCGGATCCTTAAATCGTGCACAGAGTTGTCCCGGAACGGATGGTCGTATGTAATGAAGTCGTTTTGATGGGCATTATTACAAAGAGAATATTATGATCCTACGCGCACGCGCGCGTATAATATAATAACGTTTACAAGAAACATCGGCACATTTACTAAGTACAGAAGGATGGAAGAATTGGAAGCCACATCAAAAATCTCTTCCTTATTTTAAGTAAAAATAATAGTCCGATCGGATTATCATCGGATTTCTCTCGGAATTATCGTTATCGAGAGAAATTACTAACAATAAGACGTTCTTTCTCTTCAAAATACAGGGTAGTCCAAAAATTCTGTTGCAGTTACGCGCATGGAAGAGACGATTTTCTGATGAAATAATTATAAATTAAAAAATAAATATTTTATACGAATAGCTTTGATCTTTTTAAAACAATTTGACACATACAAATAATCTCTAACATATAAACTTTCTCATTATAATTATACAATCATAACAAATACAAGTAAATTACGTTTTTCATTTTTTCTTATATACATCCTAGGTCTATTATTTTCAGAGATTAAAAATAACACGATTATTTTCGATTATATTAATATTGTTTTTAATATGCAAAGCATTTAATTTCTGTAATTT